CGTCGACGGTGGCAGTGGGCTGACCCCGGGGCCGGCCCCGACCGGCCGGGCGCCGGTTCAGTGGCTGAGTAACCGCACTGCCGCAAGTTCCGAAGTTCGGAAACTTCAGGCTTGGCCCGGGGGCCTGAGGCAGCGACTGCCGGGTCGGATTCAAAACGTGCCGTTACCATCGTAACGATCGAACTGTGTGACCTCGTGACACAAAAGGACAGGTAACGTGACTTTACAATCTTGCTGCGCCCGTCGCACGAGGAGTTTTGACTGTGAGACAGGATTGAATAGGATACCCACCCCATCATAAACGAGTACCTGCCGTATGATGGTAGGGTAGGCGTGGGTGTGTCATGTGACAGTCAAAAGAGTCAAGAAGTTAATGGAAGGCTCTAGAAGGGTTTAACCAGAAAGCGCTATAACTAGGTTTTTAAAGATCCGTTCCCAACGGGGATAGAATGAGGGTCATTCGGGTCATCCGACTGGCAGGGACTCCGACGGAAGGGGGACACGAGGTTACGAAAGGGAAAAGGACAAAAGGGAAGGAGAGGAGAGACGAGTAGAGGAGAGGCAAGGAGAGGAGAGGAGAGGAGAGAAGGAGAGAGGAAAGGAGAGACGGGGTGAGGAGAGACGAGGAGAGAAGAGGCAAGGAGACAAAAATAAGCCGGACAAGCAAAGGCGAACCACGACGATTGGCTGAAAAGTTGAAACAGAACGCAGGAAATACAATATCTCTTGTCCCACGAAGAGCAAGCAAGGGGACGACGGGGCCAATTGAATTAGGCACTCCGGCAATTTCTCTTCACAGGACAACCTCTGCTTTGAACTGTCCTCATATAAGACGTCTTTTGGAGACGCACTGAACGCAATGTCCTCACCAACATTGCATGATACGCGCAGTATGCTCCACCCAGCAATGACAAGCAGCCCCACCAACCATCAAACCCTCACCGTCAAGATCTTCCCGCGCCGCAAGAAGGGCGAGGACGACAGCGTGCCCAGGGAGCCCATCTACATCAGCCTGGAGCTCCTGTCGCGGTACTTCCACCTCAAGCAGGAGGAGGTGGCGAGCGCGCTGGGGGTGTCGCTGACGAGCTTCAAGGGGGCGTGCAGGCGGGTGGGGCTGAAGAAGTGGCCGTACGTGAGGAGCTACACGGAGGAGAAGGGGGGGAGCGGGGAGGAGGGGAGCAGCGAGGAGGAGGGGAGCGAGGAGGAGGGGAGCAGCGGGGAGGAGGGGAGTGGGGGCTACGAGGGGGATCTGGGCTTCTGGGGGGAGCTACTGGAGGAGGCGCTGAGGCACGTGGAGGAGTCAGGGGAGGGATCAAGGAGGAAGAGGAGAGCTATACATACATTAGGGGAGTCATGTCGTGGTGACTCGCTATTCTGATACGTATAAACTATCGTTACTTCTGTGCTTTTGTTGTTTGTCTGGAATGGCTTTTCTGGATTCAGTTTGTGCAAGCTGCAAACATGTTTGCTGTTCTTCGAAGGATTCATTGCAATTGGGCATACAATTATGCTATTGTGTACAAATAGAAAATGTCTCTTTGTTTCGAACTACTGATGAACATTCTCGGATGTTTTGCTGGCTGTAGCTGTACATCACTGACGTAGAGTGATAGAGTCGTCACTTCGATTCGGTACTCGGGCAATCATCAATTTCCAGTCAACAAATTTTTTATGAGTCGGATGACACAAGGAGCCTTCAGATCAGTCTAGATGGAGGCCAATAAGGCTCCGCATGACCTCAGATAGAAGGTGGGAGGGGAGTAATCATTTTCCGTTCAACGAAAGTTTGCAGTAATCATTTTCCACTCAACTTTTTGAAACTATAATCATTTTCCATTCAAAACTCCCCGTTTTCGACCGTTACACGTATCTATAACGGTCGTAACCGTATACTTTTGCAATCATTTTCCAATCAAAATCAACTTTCAAACTTTCAACTCTCCATTTTGGAACTTTACCCCA